TCGACAAGTCGTTGCTCTCAGTACCGTAAGTACAATTCAAACCATACGCGTACATACTCTCACACGTATGCACGCGCACGCACGCACAAACACACACACAAACACAGAGCTCTATTACCAGATTTGTTCATTTTTTCACTTTTAACTAGCCTAATATTGCAAAAGTTTGATAGTATATTATTGGGAAAATTCAATTCAATAATAGTACTGTTTCCAGAAAGTAAACAGAAAAGATTGCTATAACGTATGGCACACATGAAATTGTAATTTGACATTCAAATCGAAAATATAACCCTCTCCACTTACCAGCTTCAAGGCACAACTGGATCTGGCAAGGAGAAGGCGCGAGCGTCCCTCACCGCTCAATACATGCCGCAGGCACTGCGTGTAAGCCTTCCAAGCAGCCTGGTAATCTTGCTTCTTACTCAACTCATTGGCCCTCTTTTCTACTTCTAGAATGGCCGCCATCTCGTATGTCTACCACTCATTGTCTGCTGAAAACAGTCGGGTTATATTTTGCTAAGTAGTGGAATACCGAATAGGGAATAACCACGTCTGACAGTCTGTGACAAACACAGGCACTTGGAGCATTTCAATAAAATATAATGTTAAATAAATACGAAATCTATTTACTACCAAAGTCTTAATGTTTCTCTACTCTCTTTCACCTATTATTGCAAACAATTTCCTGTAAATGCCGTCCAAATACTCATCTGCAACACACGCTGGCCGCTGCACGCTAGCTGCTGCACACTGACACATAAATATATAGCAGGTAGGAAAGCGTGCTGCCAAAATTCGCTCGACGCTCACTTGATTTTACACGAATACAACACAAACATTCAACCATTACACTCCATCTTTGTTTCTATTTGAAGGACAGTGTTCACTTGTAATAAAAACATACTGTCTGTGTTCGTAACCGAGCTGTGTCACGCGAAATCACACAATGCCTGACGAAAAATTCTCGCGTTCGCTCCCGTTGCGCAGTTAATGTAAATGGCTGTCGGAATCAGGAAACACCCACCGGAGCTCTCCGTGAACTCATTTTTGCGCCGCATCCACGCATCATTTTTGCAACTCTCCACTGGCGGCTTTGACGAGGCTCGTACGAGAGTTGGAAAGCAGCATAGTAGTTTCCCAAAATGCAGTGCGCCGCCTACAGCCCTGTACTTGCAGCCATTTACATAAACTGCGTAACGGGAGCGAACGCGAGAATTTCGTCAGGCTTTGTGTGTGTGGTCTGCAGTGCATGCGTAGTGTAGGACGTTTACGCGTCGGTGGGCCTGGTCGAATGGGAATTCTTGACCATCGATTCCCGCGCTGTCAAACTTTTATTGTGGTGGAATTTAATCGGGGCGGAGGTAATTTAAACGTGGCGGGAGTTTTCCCAAACGGGGCGGGCGCGCCCGGTTTGCACAACGTAGGGAGGGGCCTGATTTATGTGTCAGTGGGCAGCAGCTAGCGTGCGGCAGCCAGCATGTGTTGCAGATGAGCATTTGCTCGGCATTTACAGGAAATTGTCGGCAATAATAGGTGAAACTGAAAGAGAGTAGAGAAACATTAAGACATTAGTAGTAAATAGATTTCGTATTTATTTAGCATTATATTTTTTTGAAACGCTCCAACTTCGGTACTCCAAGTGCCTGTGGTGACAAACAACTGCAGAAAACACTCGTCTCAACCACAGGCACTTGGGCTGTTTCAATAATAAAATGATGGTTAATAAATACAACTTGTCAGTACTAGACCTACCAGTACCAGTACCAGTAATAGTCTTAATGTTTGATTTGACCTAATAACTTCACTTCAATACTGTCCAATACACCGCTGCAACACATAGCGCGCACGCCATTGTGCATGCACAAATACACAGTAGGTTAGAGAAGGTAAGAAAGCGTACGCACAGAAATTCCAGAATGCTCGAATCTTTTCACAACACTAGAGCCAAAATACACAACCAACCGCCATGATATTGGCATCTGTGTGTAGCTGAATGGTCACTTGTTCGAAATATACGTCTTGCAACTTGGTACCACATACTTTAACCAGAATTATATGAGAAATCCTGCTTGAGTTTGCCACGAATTTCCCATGAAGCCGCTTCGTAAATGGGACCAACAGCCTATTATACATGAGCAGGGCTCGAATTAAGCGACGAGAAGGGCAAGGCAATTTTTTTAGGGCATGTGAGAAATCGCCTTGAATTTTCTCTAAAATGGAAGGGCACAGAGGCAATTTTAAAAGGCACCAAGGCAACTCTCAAAATTTGAGAAGGGCACAAAGGCACTTTTGTAAAATAAAGGGAAATTCATAACAAATTAGTACATCAACATCGTCCTGCTTTTAATGTACAAAACAATAAGCCCCCGGGCCCATGTAAGCTTACACTGTAACACCGACCCCTGTACCCCCCTCTGCTAATGGAAGTACAGTAACAAGAAATTTTACATGCCCACTATCAGGAGCGAATAATTATCCGATGCTGTTATTATTCCCTCCTGTGACTATCGGTTTTAAGCTCATCATTGCAACTACAGCACGCACGCGCACGTGTTATGTTGACTCGACTAAAAACGAAACTAGGGCAGTAGATTAAAGGGCACCGACGGCAATTACACAAAAGGGCAAGGCAGGTGACTGCCGTCGGTCGGGTTGGGTTTTCAGGGGCAGTACGGCGATTGATAGGGGCATTGACGGCAATTGCCGTCGGTGCCGTCGGTTAATTCGAGCCCTGTACATGAGTAATGGCGGCGAATTGCACTCTGGGAGGAGTTGCATCCGCCTGCCCAACTCCAAGACGAGCTACGCCGGCGCCGCCGCAAAGTGACGTCACACGGGCGACTACCGTGATTGGTCAAAGGATCTAATAGCGCGGTTAGGGATTTCCGGATTGTTGGTCCCATTTACGAAGCGGCTTCATGGAAAATTCGCGGCAAATTCAAGCAGGATTTCTCATATAATTCTGGGTAAAGTATGTGGTACCAAGTTGCAAGACGTATATTTCGAACAAGTGACCATTCAGCTACACACAGATGCCAATATCATGGCAGTTGGTTGCAGCCTAAAAATTACTCCTTTTTTACGAGAGCTCTTTTTTGATTTTGTATAAAAAAAGAGCTCTCGTAATTTTTTTTACAGGAGCTATTTTAGGCTTGGCCAGAGCTACATTTTCATAGCATGATTTTGTAAAAATTTTCATAATTTTGATGCACTGACTCTAATATCATTCATCAGCATTCAGCACTCAACACCAGTATCAGACTATCAGTGTTCAGAAATCGTCAACAAATTACATTCGATCACATTTTTTTTATCTAATTTCACTTGACTAAGAAACCAATCACATTCTTATTCAATTTCATTCACACAGACAGACATGCACTACGCAGTACACATAGTCAGGTAACATGACAAAGACAGGAAATCAAGAATTATAATCATGGTAATGATGGTATGGTTATTTTCAAGTTTCTTCTTTTTACTTCATTTCTTTTCATCTTTCAACTTTCTTTTTACATCGACTGAGCAAGTTCAGAACTTCAGAGAGAGTTTTTAGTTACTTTGAGTATGTTAAAAAAAACTTGTACTGGAATCTCTAGGAATGCCGGGAGCTTCTGGGAAAGGCTTTATTTTCGCTTTTCTCCTCCCCAGTCCACGGTACCCCCATGCATAAATCATTGCTGCAGCACATCAGCAAAGTTACAAGTGCCTAGAATCTTTAAGTATATACAGTTTACATTGCTTCTAGATATCTAACTTAATAAAAGTAGTCCACTTTCTATGTTAAGAAAGTGACGAATTCAGTTAAAAGCTTTGATTACGTGCATGTCAGGTGTCACTGGTCGTGCCCTCACTCCCCACGATAACCCCTGCGATGTAAAAACTAATTGTTATGCGGTCATGCCGCAATCGATTTCTTAGACTGTGGCGTGTTTTTGTTCGTGTGGCGAATCATGCGTTGAGGGAGGCTAACCGTAGGCCTAGTATTTCATCATAATATGAGGGGAAAAAGTGCCGGTCAGGAGGACCGGAAGTTTCGTAGAGATGGTGGCCCGAGCAAAAACTGGGTGGGCTCGGGCCTCCGGTTCGAACGCTGCCGGCGGCACGGGAGCGATTTTTTCTCGTATCTTCCAAAATTTTCACTCTCGTAATTGTTGTTACCAGAGCGCTTTGGAAGCTGACGGGAGCGAAATCGCTCGCCGCTCCCGTGTATTTTTTTTGCTGGTTGGTTGTGTATTTTGGCTCTAGTGTTGTGAAAAGATTAGAAGCGTTCTGGAATTTCTGTGCGTATGCTTTCTTACCTTCTCTAACCTACTGTGTACTTGTGCATGCACAATGGCGTGCGCGGTATGTGTTGCAGCGGTGTATTGGACGGTATTGAAGTGAAGTTATTAGGTCAAATCAAACATTAAGACTATTACTGGTACTGGTACTGGTAGGTCTAGTACTGACAAGTTGTATTTATTAACCATCATTTAATTATTGAAACGGCCCAAGTGCCTGTGGTCTCAACAACACTCAGTCTCATGCAGCGTCACTGCGTGTCAGTTCGAATAAACAGAGCGTAGTCACCAAGCACGGGGTGCTAATTTTGAAAACGTACTATATGTTATTACTAGGTTGATCATCACGCACGATAAAATATTACTCTCATAATATTACAAGCGAAACGATAGTGACATCGACAGTAAATTGGACACCATCAATCATCATGATCAACTTCAAACTTGACCAAGTCAGCGACCGGTCTTCACTTAGCGAGGTAGAATTTTAGATATGACACCTCATTAGGAATATAGAATTTTTAAGACGTGACCACTTGACTTCTCTAAAATTTGACTCTACAACTATAGTAATATTACGAAAATTTACAACGCCTAAAATTTAGTGTATTTGCATGAAAGTTTGAAGTTATATACCTTTCTCAACCATCTTGGAACGAACATCAAGCATGTCGGGTAATCTCGCGAATTAACGCGAGATTTACACTCGCATGATCGCAATCGCATCGCAATACACCATTTTGTTGAGGAAGAGATGAGTTCGATTCTTACTTGCCTAAATAATCTAAGGAAATCGCCTGTATTGAGTTTGTCGAATAATCAGTTTTATTGTGCTAAGGTAAAGAAAGCTTGAGAAAACCATGTGGTATGTATATTTTTCACTAAAAGTATGATTATGTAATGAAATTTTGCTTATTAACATGAAACATTGAAAATTCCAGATTTTGTTTACGAAACCGACACTTACATTATTGCTATTACTATTAGCAGCGTTTGAGAAAAGTTGCATGAGTAAATTACTGTGCGTAGAGACTAAAGATTGTGTATAATCTTAAGTTTTAGTTTTGCGTATTGTATATAGTACTGTTACTATTACAACGATACGTTCATCATCATGTTTTGTTTGTATCATTTGTTTCATCGCTAGTGCGCAGTGATAACCAACCGATTTATGATATTATTCAGAGAAAAGAGTCGGTATGTGTGTACCACCATAGTTATCATACCTTTCTTGCTTGCAGAACTAGAGGACAGGGTGTGGTCTTCTCCAATAACTACGTGACGTAAATAGCCACGCCAGATAAAGCAACAATATGTCTTCCATTCACTATAAATTCAAGTCCAGTTTGGACTATGACACAATCACCTTCGATGGTCTGAGCATCTCCCTTGCTGACCTGAAGAAGGCTATCATGCACCAGAAGCGGATGGGCAAGAGTGCAGACTACGACCTGCAGATAACTAATGCTCAAACCAAGCATGGTAGGTAAATCGTGAAATCATCCCAATCTGAATTAAATCATTGCCATTGGGTCAGTGTCACGTGTGCATTCACTTGTAACTACAATTGTGGAAAACATATGGCTACTTGTTCCCACTGGCCTTTATGGCTATTCAGTTGTCCTATAGGTATGTAAATTGCATTTATTTTCTGTATTGTCTGTATGATTTATATAAAATTACAAGTGCATCACTAGATTCACTACCTTACAAAAAAATTTTAGTTAAGAAAGCAGTTGATTAAAAATACTTCATTGTATTACATTTATAGCATACAAGGAAGAAAGAGATCTCATCCCAAAAAATGCATCTGTGATAGTAGCAAGAATACCTGTAGTGAAGACCTCTACAAGAACTCCATGGTAATTATTTGTACTGGTTTACTCACATAATAATGACGTTCAAAATTCAGAGTTTAGATCGTGATATTTTTAATAAGTAGTGAAGTACATTTACAAGCGGTGCCAATGCAAATCATTTGTAAAGTCAAAACTGTATATATATATATAGGAGTTGCTTAAGGAATATTGCAAAACATAGATATACACAACACATGGATAGCTGACTTCCGCGCGCTCACGTTAAAACACATTGGGCGATGTGCCGGTGACGCCACTTGGTGTCACTGATCACATCCGGTACGATGTCTGTGTGCTATTATCGCAGTGGAAACACGGCATCTTACTTCGATCATACCGTCGATGTCACCGTAAATAATAAAAAATAAAAAAAATATTTTCACTTTTTCACAAAATATAAGTAATTCTGTTCACTTTTTATGGTTAAATTGCTGCATTATACTTCTTATTTTACTATATTGTTAGATGTGAACATACACTCGTGACGCATACATAGCCCATAGCAAGCAATTAATGTCAGGAACACTAATATCAAATCGTCCAATAATATCATCCAATCGTCCAATAATATCAAATCGTCTAGGTTTTTTGGATTTTTAACTAGTTGAGAAACAATCTTATCAGGTAAGAATTTGAAGATACGTTTAGTCCTGTTAGTTCTTACTTTTAATGTAAAAAAATGGCAACAAAAATTTTACAAATTTTACCATAGAAAATTTGTGACGTAGTCAATTTAAAGTGTGTATTGCGAGATTTTTGCTCAGAAAAACTAACTATAGCTGAATATAGTCTCACCTGACAGCGAAAATAGCACTGATTATACCAACGTTAAAAATACTAAGATTTTATGCAGTTATACAGTGTTAGAGCTTTAAAATAAAAACCACTTGCCAAACTGGGCGAGTGAGTCAATAAGTTAACTCGTCCAAACAGAATCTGTACTCGCCCAAATTTTAAAACAAAAATGCTTGTCAAACAATAGTGAAAAAACACAAAAACACCATTGATTTAAAGGGAGAGTTTACTCTAGGTTCTAGGGTTATTTTCAGCTAATTTAGGTTATAATTACCAGTGGAAAAAATACACGGGGGCTCGGGGCGATTTAGCCCCCGAAATGCCAAAAAGAGCCCCCGTAAATTTGCATAGAGTTCAATGCAAACCTAATTCAAGAGTGCTATTTTCATGCACGCGAGCTTGAAAAGTAGCCCCCGAAAAATAAATAGTTTTTTTTTCCCTGATAATTATGCTGCATGAAAAGTTTCATGGTTCAATCAACATTAGAAATATTTTTTTTTAATGTTTTAAAACTAACAATTACAGTTTGATTACAACGACGGTGGCGCCACTCAAAGCGCACGATCTGATAAGTTGCGCAAAACCACTTTCCAGCCAAGGGCTACAGACCGAGAGTGTTTTTTATTTATTCATTTAAAAGTAAAAGGATTGTAATAGCTTATAAACGACATATAGTTTCAGTTATAATATGGATAAATTTGCCCTAAAATGAATATCGTTCGGTTAAACATCATTTAGGTATAAATATAATTGCACTTTTGTGATTAGCCCTCGGTCTGTAACGTGCAAAATAAATTGTTAAATACGCAACTTTTTCGGGGTGGCAGCACGGTCGCGGGTGTCATGGCGCCGTTCAAATTTCGTAGCGTTAATGTGTAATTAATTATAACAATTAAATTAGGTATCTGGTGACAAATACATGTGGGTATAGACGATTTGTTATACAGTAAGTACAGTTGTATGCAGTAAAATCCTAGAGGCTACTGTCCCTTTAACTACACATGTAATTCATTGATCACTTTTCTCAAAAATTCAAGGCACATCTCCTCTGAAAGTTCCTGTTTTCATTTTCATTTAATTTACTTTTATTCTCGGGCTGCTTCGCCAGATCAATGAAACGCCACGTTATGCCGATTTTATTGACTTGTTTACACCAAGGCAAACGTGACCTTTAAACAATCCTGCATCCCCCTCCCCGTACATCAATCAGTATGCCGTCCCAGGCACGTATGCACAGCCACGCCGTGCTGGCGCTGCACGCTCTCGCGGGCTGCTTTCTTCGGCGACCTTTGATAATATAAAGTGAGGATGTCATGGGATAGCCGCCCTTCACAATCGCTACAACTGTATTTCATCAATGTTTGGATATATATCGTAAGGAACCAACATTTGATTAAAGTTTAAGACAATTATTTTTACTCGCCAACATGTGCGAGTCAGCTTTAGCATTCATTCGCCCGATATTATTTTCACTTGACATTGGCGAGCGGGCGAGTGCCAAGCTCGCACGCTGGTTGTACAGGGCTTGAAACTAATCTAAAATGTTCACTAGCCAGCAGGGCTAGTGACCTGTAAAATCTACTAGCCCTTAAAAATATCTACCAGCCCTTAGTTTTCTGAAGTGCGGCGCTGAAGCTACGTGGTGAGCACAGTTTTGCCATTTTCGGGGGGGGGGTGGATCTGGGTTTTGATTTTAGACGCTCTGAGATGCATTCTGCGAAATTCATTGACTTTGTAAAAACATAGATTCAGTATAGATTCAGTATACACATCAGGTATGTTATAAGAGCAGAATAATTATATTCCTTAAATAGTAATTAATAGTCAGTTTACTGAAATGTGAAAGTTCATGTTTAAGTTGAACCGTTTGTGACTATCTCTACTACAAGTACAGAGGTTGTTAGTAGTTAGTACAAGTACAGTATAGAGTTATAAGTTGAGTTATTCTGTTTGTGATAGTTTAAGATTTGTAGAGTTGTATTGCAATTATATTAGTTGACTGAATATAAGCCACATAGAAGCGTGTTATGCTAGTGTTACGATGAACTTCGTATTATAAAAAGCTTAGAATACCAGTTACAGGAATGTAGGTTTAAAGGTATATATATGCGGGTTATTTTCATAACAGTACCTGACAAAACCATGACTACTATTCCACGTCAATTATAGACACAGAGACTGGATTGTATATTAGCCAGGGTGATTCCAACTGAGTATAAGTAAATTTGAGTTTCTAATTTGCTTATTTAGCAAACATCAAATTGAAATCATCTTTTTGTTTGAAAAGGGGAGGGATTGTAGTGTTTAACCCTGAGATCAGCTGAACCGTAAACTAACCGGTCCACGAACATGAACAGAAACGTATTGCTAACATACACTGTGAGGGGATTAATGTGGTTTAAAGGGGGAGTTTACTCTAGGTTCTAGGGTTATTTTCAGCTAATTTAGGTTATAATTACGCTACATAAAAAGTTTCATGACATGGTTCAATCACCATTAGAAATATTTAAAAAAAATGTTTTAAATCTAACGACTACAGTTTGATTACAACGACGGTGGCGCCACTCAAAGCGCACGATCTGATAAGTTGCGCAAAACCACTTTCCAGCCAAGGGCTACAGACCGAGGGTGTTTCTTATTTATTCATTTAAAAGCAAAATGATCTTATAAACGACATATAGTTTCAGTTATAATATGGATAAATTTGCCCTAGAATGAATATCGTTCGGTTAAATAGCATTTAGGTATAAATATAATTGCATACTTGGTAGATAAGGCTGCGGTCTGTAACGTGCAAAATAAATGGTCAAATACGCAACTTTTCGGGTGGGCAGCACGGTCGCAGGGTGTCATGGCGCCCGTTCAAATTGCGTAGCGTTGATGTGTAATTAAGTTATAACAATTAAATTAGGTATCTTGATTCTGGTAACAAATACGTGTGGGTATAAACGACTTTGTTATACATACAGTAAGTACAGTTGTATGCAGTAAAATCTTACAAATGGCCAATACACAGACCGTTTCCATCGGCCACGTGGCATCGCCATTACGTCATAAAATTATAAACCAATGCTAGCCAGGGAAGTAGACTGGTCCCCAGCGCTAAACTCCGCACCGCTGTCAGAAACGAGTGGGGCCGCAAACCGATCTAATCAAAACGTGCAAGGCTACGGGCAGCCATCAGACGTGATTATTGTGTACGTTCGTATTAGTGATGTCACGATTATCGATTATACTCGATCATCGGTTGAAGTGGCTCGAACCAAGCGCTTAAGCCCGGCGCACACGTGCGATTTTTATCGACAGTACCGTCGATTTTTATCGCCGGTACTGTCGATAAAAATCGCCACGTCGTGCGCCACCCGGCGACAATTCAACCGTCTATCAGCGACATACCACTGTATGAACTGTACGTGACCTGTTCAAACCACACCACACGGGGCGCTGCCAATATTTGATCACGTTGCTGTCAAATCATGCATTTGATTGTTATATCAAAAACTGTTGCCGGGATCCATCGCCAGTGCGGCGCCACACGTAGCGATTGTCAGCGACTGGGCAACAAATATCAAACAGGTTATGATATATCCGAGCGACGGAGTTTTCTGGCCGTCAAAATCGTTCGGTGACGCCGGGCCAGCGCAGCACGGTGAGCGATTTCTCAGGGCGATTCTTGTGCGCCCGCAACAATGAATCGCCCGCTGCTACTAGCGATAAAAATGCGGCGCACTGTGTGCGCCGCGGCTTTAGTTATCAAATCCGATCAACTCAATTTCATCCGAAAAAAAAAAAAAATAAATACAATATCGAAATAAATGCAAAACTTGAAACAAGAAATTGAATGTATGATATTAGCAGATCGCTATAACATAGCAATCTGGGCTAACTATACAAGTTATCCTTTGATGTTAACATATGCTGTACTATACACACAGTAGTAAACAGTGCCCAAAACAAACAGTAAAAAAGAGGCCTAAACACAAGCACATACATGCACACGACGTACATGCAGCACGACGTACGCACACGCAGAGCATCTCAAACATCCCGAGTAAGCCGATTGTAACCAGATCATCGGTTATTCAGTCCAAACGCGATGATCGATTAGCGAAGATTACACAGCCGATTGAGCAACACTAGTTCGTATAATATCTGCCGTATATAATATTAGCTTTATTATATATTTCGTTAATACATGGACGCGTTTTTAACAGCAATTTATTAAAAAGGCAGGCAGCAGGAGTTTTTTTGGCCGGTTTGCTCATGTGTGCCACTGGCACTGGCAATGTGGAGATGTGGTGAGTGGCTGAGGGATGAACTTGTCGTTACGGTCGGTCGTTGTCGGCTGCGCAGTGTTTGGCTGCGGCTCAGTCGGCCGAACTTCGCGTCGTTTGTCGTTACTGGGTCGTCGTGCTGGTCGCTCAGTGTGTCTTGGGCCATTTAGTCAGTTCAAGGTCAACGATATTGGCTCATTTAGTTTGTATGTGAATGAATAAAGGGGTTTTTTGATATTTAAAAAAAATGCAAATTAGGTAGTTTTATTAATATTAGGCATATTATAATATAAGAACGCAGATAACAGTCTGTTGGTGTCAGCACTCGTCTGGTTCGTTTACAAAGATTTCATTGAAAATATCTTTAATGAAAGAATTGTATTTGCCTCTCACCACTGCACGTCTAATTATTAAGAGTAAGAGTTTTACAAAACAATGTCGGAAGCGCAGGCATAAACCTATTATTTCGAACGCAAGCATTGGCTAAGTAAACATCCAAGCGGGTATAGCGGGCCATAATACTGTCCAAATTGTTGATTATTTTGGTTTATAAATTTATTATGTGCGATATACAGATAGCAAACGCGTGTGGCTTAACCGGCCTAGAAAAACTCAATATGAAGTAAACACTCCCATGCAACCGATTAACGCTTGTGACACCCCAAAGTTGTGTTATGGGCAGGGAAACACCATTGTCACGTGGATACATAGGCAGCTAGCGTGGAATAAGGCGTACCTGACTCAAATCTTTACACCGTTACACATGCGGGAAAGCTCCGCTTTAGGAGCAGTGCCTAAATAATGAATATTATAAAAGGAAGTGTCTACCTGGGCAAGCGGTACCGTCGCCAAGATTATTTTTCTCGATAAAGTCAACGGTACTGACGGTACTGACGCCTGAATTGTTTTGGAGCTGTAGTTTTCTGATCGAGCGATATACATAGCACATCCAAAATTTTAAATTTGCAATATGTGGCAGAACAGCGGCAACGGTTTTAGAGCGGCTTGCGCGCACAGTATGAATGGTCGGCGGATGCGAATCCCATCCGATTTTGCTAATTATTCACTGTTTTCTGTATTTTTCTATCTTACTGCTGTTTAACATTTTGTTTTAGCGACAATTAACGCATTATTTACATATTTAATTTACAACATTTTAATAACAAGCAATTAAATTTTTACAACAATTAAAATTAATTTTATTAATTATAAATAGAGTTAGGGTTAGGGTTTAGGTTTAGGGTTAGGTTAGGGATTAGGGTTAGGTTAAGGGTTAGGTTAGGGTTATCAGTGATAATAATCGTATAAAATCGTATATATAAATACCAGTACCAAAAGCCAACGGTAGTTTATTATTCGCACGATAGATGGCGCTGGCATCACTACCGTGACTTTAAGAGAAAAAAAATCGGCGACGGTACCGTTGCAGGAGCAACAGCCATTATAAAAACGTTAAATGGCGATCATTTAGGTGTAACGCCATCACTCGCCCACATCTCAGACTCACATCTCAAACATTTATTTTTACATGAAAAATTACACATATAATTATCAAGAGTATATAATGGGAGTTCTTCTATATACTCTTCGTTTCTATAATGTACGTCGATGGTTGCTCAATTAAAACTGACTTCTTCTCACTCACTCATTTGTGTCCTATTTTGTGGTGAGCGACAGTTTCATTTGATAAAGGGTTAGTAAATGATGTGCTACATTTGTAATCATTACATTAAAATATGTGCATGAACTATTAGTATATCAACCTATCCTACGTACAGGTGCCTTCCGAGCAACTGGTTTTGCTGTCTCAACAGTTAGATGTGGCATATATTTCGTAGGTATGCTTCCTACGTTTAAAATCGTCCCTGTGACACCTGCAAAATTATTAAATAATTATTGGCTAGCGTATGCTGTTAGACCAGATATATATAATACATATATATACCAGTGTTATACATGTTTGTACATAAAACATAAGTGGCATATGATATGTCTGGTGAGACCCAACCAAACTATTTTTTAAATTTAAATATCACACGAATAACATATTTTAGTTATAAAATTAATTAGTAGAGTGCATTTAGTTTTCCTACTTTCCTGATATTATTACAAGATGGTTAGACACATGTATTAATTATTAGGGAAGGTGTCTAAATATTAAGTTACAAAGAATATTACCTAGAAGGCCAGTACATATGATATCTAGGGTTTTCTATTCTTTATAATTATTATTATTCTAAAGAGATGATTATTTTAATTCATAAGGGATTAATTACCAAGAATAAAACCAAGAAATACACTGGCTGTACCTGACCTAAAGCAGCTTTCTTCAAAATGCCTCGAACAAATTGTTGCTGTATCAGGATTAAATGACTTGTCAATCCTGTTTATGGCAGGGCACGTCTCAACTCGGGATTCTTTCCTAATAGACGGAAACTTAAACCCTTGTTGCGTCCTGAACATGCACCACAACCAACTATGGCACAGCATTTACCATGCATGGTCAATGACTAAGGGAAAATAATATAATAGTATGACTGAAAACGTAAACAAATATGCATAGCAAGCTCTGGCATTGCTAAGCTTAGTGCCGGAAGTGGAGTGTGACACTAACAGCAACGCCACCTGCAAACGCCACATCGGCAGTGGAACTAACAAGTCGGCTATCCATGTGTTGTGTATATATATCTATGTGCAAAAGTAACATTTATAGACAGGGTTTCTTATTGTGTAGCTGATTTCAGTGTAACTGCCACGCGAGAAAAATGTTGGAAATGTCCTTTATAGCTTTTTTTCTTGCATTGTAGGGAAAGAACAGGAAGTCCCTTGATGAATGACCAGAAATCAGTACGTATCTTATCGCAATCTTAACCCGATACACGTGAGTAGTGCACACAGCTTGAAAACTGAAATGAGAGCTTTCGCAATCGAGTCTACAGACCACGTGCACGTACAGTGATTGTACAGGGGAGATCGTTGGTCTAGGATGAGTTGCTGAAACCACTCGTAATTGGTCAATGGTAGCAGCGCGGCAAACCTCTTGTACGTGGCGCGACGTGCGTGGAAGTCCCAGGATGGCGATGTTGGTTATAGAATGATAATTCGTCCCTGGGCATGGATCTATATACCCATTGCCTAGGTATTCTTATGCGGTAACACCTGTGTAAGCTGTAAAACAGCTTTCCTCGGGGATCTGGAATGGGACTTGATTTGGAGGGGGAAGCCAAGTTGTTGTCTATGCATATCGCTTGTCTAGTGGTGACCAAGTCTGTTTGCAAAATATAGCAGGGGTAGAAATTAATTTTTGAACAATGGAGTCCAACGGACTCCCTGCCCTCAAAAAGAGGGAGTCCGTAGTCTGAAGTTCAAAATTAAAGATTTGCTGGAAAAATACGGTAATTCTGCGAGGCCGTGCTCTGGAACGAACTAGTTAGTATAGCAGAATTTTTACGGAGTCACACGGACTCCTGCATATGTCAAATCAGGGAGTCCGGCAGTAAATAAGGGAGTATTTGACTCTGGACTCGCGTTAATTTCGCACCCTGATATAGGCAGTGGTTTTAAGACCACCTAGATCCTAGAGGATGACCACTGAGTAAAACTGGTAGGCAACTAGTTTACAAATTGTGCTCAGAAGGTTTCATTAGTTGCATAACAACATGTGCTGCTAAATGGCAATGTGCTTGTGTGTTCATGGACTATGGCAACTTGCTCTCTGTGTTGTAGGTAATACTAGAATAATGTTTATTGAGTAGGCAGCAGCTGTTTGTTATCTGATTACAGACTTGCTGGTAGCCAAGGGCAATAGCCGCAGCTGCAATGTTAAATATGAACACAATATGGTCTTGCTAATGCTAACTACCTTTTAGTCTTAATCTTAATGGTGTGCAGAAATGGTTTTATGGGTAGTCCAGCATCAGACTGTGTGGTTAATACCAGCGTGATTTCCTTTAATGTGCACATGTTTAATTGTTGTGCTGGATACAATCATACTATCTTGGAACCAGGCTTAAATGATTTCTTCGTTGCAGTAACGCAATCGCTCTGCATTAACTTGATTAATAAATTAATCAGCTCGACTGTTCCTAAAATGCTGGGTTGAGATACTGCAACCAAGAAATCGTTTGTGGTGGTCTAGTGTTGTGTGTCTGTGCAAATGGTATTGGTCTAACTTGAAAGCAAAATCGAAATGAGTTTTCTTAGTTTGACAGTAACTATCGTTGAGTGCTTATCATGTTAATGATTTGCCATTTTCTAGTCAGGAATATCTGTGACAAAAGCCTGTTATATATGCAGCTTTCACATTTACAGAACAGCTGTAGTAACTCGCAGGTTTAATATACTGACCAATTTTTTTCATCTATGCAAGGTGTTGACGTTTCCTAATAATGCCTTTATTAACAATGTTGCTTTGCTGAAGTGCATTTTCCCCCCCACGGTGGTTTGCCTAATAAAATGTTATCTAACAAGGAGGTGAACCGCACGTGGGATTTTTCGCGATCTCGCTAATGTTTGTAAACTGGAAATTACTTAGAAGTGGAGGAGGGGGCGAGAGAATGTGTGCCTGTTGCTCATGCTCCAACGTTAATTCACTGACCGGGAGTCGCGTACGTTCACCAGCGCCCGTCCACGCTCGGTTTGGGAATCGTGGATGAGAATACAGAACGACACATGTTTGCGTTGCATATATGGTCGTTCATTTGTCGTGGATATTCGCCCGTTCCCAGGATGCCCTAATGTCTGCATGGGTCTGCAAGGAAAAAAACTCCCCTTTCGCACTCTAAGCTGTAATGCTGTTTGTTACGAAATTACTGTTGGTAGAATGTAGATGACAAACATTGTAACCCACAAGAGTTATTGATTTAAAGTGCAGGCCGGATTAAGCGTGATAGATCAGTATGCTATATACAGTTTGTGTTAGGTACTCACGTAACTTCCAATTTCTCAATTTGCATATTAAATATCATTTGGGCCTGTAAATAACAGAAAATTTCTGTGTGCTGCTTACACTTTTGGATTCCCATTGATTTTGTTACTAAAGATGTTTGTAAAGTTATCAAACTGCATTGTTATATTTAGCCCTCATAAAAAAAGTGAGTAAAGTTGTCCTTACAAGTGGTTGATATCTGCGTTGATGATCGTGTAAGCCCATGGTGTGTTTAACTTTATAGCAACAGGACTACATGCATTTTCATTAGTAGTTAAGTGATTAATGTTTTCGATGAGTGGGTTCTGTTCATTTAGTAATACGTGAAGTTGGCATGCATATTTTAATCAAAATGCACATATTTGTGTTGGCATTGACATTTATTGATATCGATTAATCAATATATTTTCCGATCAGTTGCGTATATAAAGAGTCGGATAATAAGACATCTGGGTAACCCACTTCTGAAATTTTCTATTAAAGTAACTTAATAGGTTCGATTTCCATGTGACCGTATAGAGAAGAGTCATACTTTGTGCAAAATAGATATTGCATGTACCTGGCATTATTGAAGTTATCATATAAGCAGCTGCTATTACACTGTTAAAACACGATATCACCACAGTTATATTAGACTGATACGGTAAGTACGAACACGTAAACTATATTTTACCTAGCTACGTAAGTGTGGAAGTGACAAGGATTTCCTACTCACGTCTTCATTTTTCCATGTTTACACCTGCCACGTGCATGTTTACTGTTGTATATTAGTTATAATAATAATTATAGTATTTATTGTACTATGATCTTTGGAAGTATGGCCTCATGTCACATTATCTGCCCCTTGGTTTTGTTAGCACTGCATATGCCATTTAAAATTACATAAAAAGCATTTATGTGCAATACAAGTGACGTGATGGTTTTGATAATGCGAAGATCTCGCACTGTGATATCTTTGTACGTTAAGTTATCTACAAATATTTGAAAGCTTTACCCACATTATGTGATACCTATTTTTATTACAATTTTCTATATAAAGTTGATGTTGTTTGATGTTATATATATATTTTTATAAACTATGTCTACCTGTGGTACGCTTGGTGCTGTAGCAACGACATCCTTGTTATTTTCATCATAGCGCGATAGAATCTGTGTCATCGTTTTTGTGCAGCAATAAAGATGCTAGGGATTGTAACGTGACAATCCTGCGTGTATATATGCAAGTTGTATATGTTCTTTTCTGGCCTCTGCTCCCACCACTGCCCTATTACTTACAGTTAAGATGCCCATTCACACAGTCACACTGGCTTTAAAGCCACATTATTCACATTTTACATGGTCACACCATCTTTTGACTCAGTGCTGTAGATATGGTTTGTAGTATCACGCCTGTCTTTAACCCACTTGTGCATACATTTTGCACGATCACACCATCTTTAAACCTCTGTTGTGCATACATACGTTTTACATGGCCACGCAGTTCTTGACCCACTGCCATACATGTGTTTTGGCTAGATACCCCTTTAGGCACTAATTCACTACTTGTTTCAAACATTGTTACAGATGAAGGTTACCCCGTTTTAACACCATGTGCATAATAGTTGCTGGTTCTTCAATAGTAACTTTTAGAGTGGTTGTTGATGACCTTCATCTTTCCACTGAACAGCAGATTTTCTTGACTACTGGGTTCAGGCCACTATCAGTGCAGCATGTGCAGAAACCAGCACGTCTGGCTTTATATGGATATGCCCTCTGATCTCATGAATTGGTGCTTAATGTCATTATAGAACTAATACCCATGACCAATACATAAGGTGAGGTGAGCTAACTATATTTTCATTACTAAAAGGTAAATGTTTTTGCCATTTATTTGAAGTGAACTAAATTCTGTTTACTTTTTAGCTCGCCTTGACATCGTCAAGCTGAGTTATTACCATGGGTCGTCGTCCGTCGTTCGTCCGTCCGTCTGTCCGTCAACATTTGGCTACGGTCAACGATAACTCAGGAACCGTTTGACCCACATGTTTGAAATTGGGTATAGTTGTTACTGCTATGCTCCCATATTAAACGTCCTATTTTGGAGCACGCCAGTCGACGTACTTTCGAGCCACAGCTTGGTGCATAGCTGGGAGATTGGACATTGACGCAACACTCGGCGAGCTAATCTTTGATCTATTTACAGCTGGTATTCCCCCCATGCACGCACGCCCACCGCAATCAGCAGCAG